CCAATTCCATCCAGTTAAGTCCAGTGATCTTCCAGTTCCAGTAATTCCCACTGGAACGTTCCAGTGAACAACACTGACTAACACCACATAAAAATCATTGCTAACGGATGTGATATAACTTATATATTCAAATAGTGGTTTTGGATGACTTGGAATGTTACTTCAAAAGGAGTTAATAGAGATTTCTCTTCTGCATTTAACGATAAAAGAAATATTCTTATTAGTCTTGAATTTTTAAAATGATGTTCCGGTTCGCTCCACAAAATTGGTATAGTAATTTTACACCATTGACGGTTTACAAGCGAACATGAAAACAGGCTTTTATTATTATGTCGGAGGTTATTAAATATTGAATAGTAGCATTCATCTGATAACGCTATCATATTGAAAAAACCACTACTGCATGTACTGTACGTGCGTACTACATATGTACATGGCTTCAGAAAATTTGTGAAATAATCAAATCAGTAAAATTTGTGAAACCCGGATCACCCTGATGAAGTGCTGAAGTGTGAAATAGCGTTGTGTCAGGATCCTAAATTTGGAAAGTTTACGTACTCACATGGTAATTTGGTAATGACCAATTTTAACTTACTTCGCAACTGTTTCCGAAAAATCATTATTAAATTTAGAAATTTCGAAAGAGATAAATTTTCAAATTAAAATTGTAAATTTGATTTAACATATATGGAAAGCAATGCTATTTGCTTCATTAAAGCAACGATTCAACTTTGTAAAAACACTTTGGGTTGTATAATTAAGTGCTTTTCTCTGTAATTCCTGGTTAACAAATGCTCAATACTAATCCATGGTATTATAATGTTGAGCTTGTGATGTAGCCCAGAGTTCCAAAAACTCTGGTCACTCGAAACTAAGTGATTCTGTAACAGAATTTTTTACAGTAACTTAGTTAAATTATGATACGTAACTCCAGCACTAACTCAACCTTAACTGCCGTATGTACCGCTTTAGTTTCTTTATAATAATTCATTGTAATCCTAATGCAACTAACTCAATTTAACAACATCCCGGGTCTCTGGAATAACGAGTAAGTTCGGTAACCATTTTATGCGTAGAAATCATAACCCCGAAACTAATTAAACAGACTACAGTGTATAATGAATTAGCAAGTAAATTCTGTAACAGAATCCTTTACAGCAGTGTTGGGTTTGGGACGGAACCAGACATGTCTGTTCGGGATATAATCTACAAAATTTAATATCCCGGACAGTGCATATATAAATGACGTCACCAGTAGAGTAAGGTCTACGTATATTTAAATTGCATAATACATAGTATCGGCATAGATATTGTACTAAATGAGTTATAATTATTTTGATTGACAAAATTGGAATAACGATAATTAAAATATCCCTTCGCTATCTGCACTTCTTAAACAATTCAAATTTAATTAGCTTTAATGTGAGCTAACTAATTTAAACTTTCACTAAAAATACTTTACTCTAACGCTAAATTAGAATTCAGTTTCGCTATTATATTAGAGTTATTCAATAGATTGTAAAATAGGGAGAGTTGGGCCGGGTAGGTAATTTGGAGCACTTGGATTTTTCAGCTATATCCCGTTAAATGACACTCAGAATTAAATTACATTAGTACCATTTGATTTGCTCATAGGGACAATTCAAATTATATAAAAATTGCAGAGTTCTAAATACCGAACTAAAAAGTCAAATACTGTATTATGGTTCACGTGTTCAATTTTTTTAGTATAAATATCCCGGGACTCGGATATAAAGCTATGGGACAATGTCCGAACACATTGTTATGTTGGGACACTTTTAGGGACACGGGGCATAGAATATTGTCCAGGACATCAATGTTCCCAAAATATTGATGGACAATGCCCGAACCCATCACTGACGCCACCCATCGCATTAGTAAACCTGTTATTGGATGCTACACATCAATAACTATTTATTATTATTATCCAATAGATTGCTAGCAAAATATTCTGTTAATAATCGATTTTCAACAGATATCGATATATTAACAGGTTTCTAAATTCAGATGAAAATGGAACGATTTAGGTTTTTAAATTCAATTTTGTAATTAATAAATCTTATTACATAAATTTGTATAAATATTCAATAAACTAGTTAAAAAAAAAAATATCGTGTAGGATAAGCTAAAGTTTTTTCATCAATGAAGGATTATGTGCTCTCAAGCTTTCTGCAACGCTAGTAAATGTATTGACTAAATTAATCTCAGTCATAACGCTAGTGAATTGACAACGCAAAGCATTTACAATAGTGTTTGCTGGATGATATCGACTTGCAATCCCAGCCATTTCTCTTAAGGAAGGACTATCATTTCCACCAGCAAATAAGACAGTTATAAGATACAATGGATTTCTGATTTAGATTATTAAATAGTTAGCATGATGTATATAGAAATGCTGTATAATTTTAAAATTATTATTTGTAAAGTTTATTTACCCTTTATCGTTATTATATTTACAAATTTGTTCAAGTTGACCTTTCGGTGTACTACATCCACCATCAGAAAGAAATATAATTACATTTGCTCTAAAATTTTTAAGAATTTTTTTTTAAGCAATGGTTTAAGAGAATACAACAAATGATAATATATAAGCTCAAATACCTTGCTGTATCAAAATAGTTATTAATTAGGCTTCCTGCTTTTTGAATCGCAAGATTAAAGTCAGTGCCACCACGTGCTTTATGTGGTAGCATCTGATTTAGCATCAACTTAGAGTCTGTAAGTACATGATTCTCGAATGGTACAATGACTTCATGATCGAAAAGAATCAGTGATATTGTATCCTTATTAGTAGATTTCGACCTTGCTTGTGCAGCTAGCCTTGTTTCCATAAACGAATAAACCTTTCGCATATATGAAAAATTTTTAAAAATTAATAGTAATATAAAAAAAAAAAAAAAATGAAAATCTAAATACTTACAGCACTATATACTGCACCTGTTCTGTTGTCATGGTTAGTTTTTAAAAGATTATAAACTGGAGTATTTGTTATTGGTTTCTTATCACTACTATCCATAGAACCAGATCGATCAATTGTAAAAATAATATGGAATGAACCCTCTCGTTTTGCAGGGTTATCACATTTAAAGTGATGTCCACCAAGAGAAATATATCCAATACCATTTGGTGGTGCATCAGATAATTTGAGAGGTGCATTAAACAATGGTAGTTCACAAAATGATCTGTTAGGTACAACATTTGATCCTTTAGTTGGCTTATGTATTTCATCAGCACATTCATGATCACATTTTTCAAATATTTCTTGTTCTTGAGCCGAATAAGGATCTATAAAAATTCTTTAGTTCAAATAATAATATAATCTATTACAAAAACATAGCCTTGGAAACAGAACTATACCCTTAAATCCTGTGCGTCCCAAAAAAGGCTATGTGAAATATAATCCTTTGGCTTTTCTGGATGAGGTTCAACGCTAACTAAAATTTTAAAACGCATAAGAACATATCAAAAAAAATATAAAAAAAAGACAAATAATATAAATATAATTGTACCATCAATATGTTGCTTATTTGCACTAGGTTTACATGTTGAAGCATCTTGACAATAGTCTATATGACGATGACGTCCAAATTCTTTGCAATACTACAGCACATAATATATAATCGTTGATTAGAGTAAATCATTAAAATAATAAAATAATTTATGCATAGTAAGAATTGTAAGAAGTAACTTACCAAGTTACAAAGCACAAATGTTCCATGATCGCCTGCTCTAAATTTATGGCTTTGTAAATAATATTAATAATATTAATATTATAATTTGGTTAATTTATGCACACACTTCAAAAGACATTTTTATACTAATACCCTCTGTAAACGAATTCTTTTTCTTCTGAAGTAAATTCTGTCTGAGTCATATTTCCATGTTTAGTTTCATGTAGCGCTTGTGGGTGTCCATACGGTAAAATACACTAGAATAACAATTATTAATTAGCTTATTAATTGCGCATAACACTTAAAGACTAAAATTATTGTTTGATTGAATTTGATATTGTATTTTGATAGGTTAAAATTTTTGATTTTCATTTTAATTGGATAAAAAATAGAAACTAACTAATGGCAGGAGGTCAAGTCGCATGACTTGCCCGTTTTTATCAATAATGTATAAAAATTAAATGATTATTTTAAAAGCCGCTAAGTAGTAATAAATTAACTTGCTACAATTTTTTGTATCTTTTTGTATTGTGAACATTAGCTTTTGAAATTATTTTAGCCTTTAAGCATCGTGCCTGTATTTAAAAATATCTGAGCTATTTATTACATACATAGTATTCACAAAATTGACCTATGCATGTTTAATGATTAAAGATTAAACGAAAATTCAATAAATAAATTCGCAGTATATTGTGATGTAAATTATATGTTCTTACATTTGGCGTCACAAAAGTGAAACCCATTTTCTTCATGAGAATGCTTTCCCTCGTGATGAAAGGCATTAGGTGGAATTTTCTTGCAGCATTTAACCCTTTCACTTAATTGAATATACTGTGAAATAACATCATGGTGATTAAATTTTATGTCAAAAATTATTCTAACATGATTTACATCATACCTTGGTAAATGTAAAAGAAGTTCCTTGCACTAAACCTTGATAAACTTCTTCCTGTTTTTTCGGTTCAGTTATAACTCTGCAAACTCCTAGTTCTTGACAATCTTCTTGGCATTGATGCTCATTACTTTTTACAATATGACATAAAAAAATGATTTAACGAAAATCTTGAACATATAACAAAATAATTCTCACAAGTACATACCCGCAAAAATGAATCTGTTGTGGCTGCAAAGCATGAAAGTGGTCTGTACTCTGACATCGTCGCTGGCAATCGGGAATTGGACATTGAATCGGACATGCAGAGTCATTTTCACAACAGTGTTGTTCATGTTCATCCTCACAAGGAATAATGCATTTATTAGGGCATTTATAAAAACCCTTTTTGGTATTAGCTTGCAGAGAACAAGGTGCACCGCAATTATGACGTTTTGATTGACATATATGTTCTTAATTTTCATGGCCTATTTCTTTTGCACATTTCTGTTGGCAATTACGCTTGTCACTGAATTTACATGGTTTACCACATAGATGATTTGTCTATTTATAAGTTCATATAAATTATTTAGAGAGAAAAGATTTTTAATCCGAATTTAATGATCAAAATTAAATAAAATTGGTTTTTTTTTAATAAATTACCGTATTACATGCGTGTTTTCCGTCATGTCCTGCTTTGTGACTGCATCTTGGAAATAGCCCATTCGAATGTGCATCAACGAATTCTCAAGTGACATAACAATTATGATCTGTCAAACAGTCATGCGCATCTTCATGATGTCGATTTTTCAGACATTTTAAATTACACTCCTGGCAGGAAAGGCCACATAATGTCCAAAGCAGTGAAATTCGGTTGACTAACTGACCTAGTGCATATGCACCATCTTTAACATCACTATTATCAGGTGAAAACTTGCTGGTATTTTGTTGAAACCATTCTTGTGCTCGATTAATCCGCCGTTGAATAATAAATTTAAAGAATTTTGATAATTTTTCAAACCATACAGCATCATTAGAACAATCTCTGCGACTTTGTACTTTATCTTCAAAGTAAATTCTCAAATCGGCTGATAATGGTACGAAATCTGTGTTTTCATCTAAAAGACGAAGATCTGAATCTAAAATCAAATCACATTCATCTTTAATTTCATCATAAATTTCAGTTAGATTTATAACTTGATCAGGAATTATTTCACCAGTATCACGATTCTGAAATTTAATATGCAATCACCATTATTTTCATTATCATAACAGCTTTAAATTTTTTTTTTTAAAAAATTCAAACGTACCGTCAGATGTTCTATTGTATTAGTTTTTTCCTCGATACCAAGAGATATTGCAATATCAAGCAGTCTTTTCAATGTAGATACACGTATTTGTACCAAATTCTCATCTAAAGAGCCCCAATCACAAATCTATAAAATTTACGGGTTTTTGAATTTGTAATCTAATACCAAAAGGTTATAAACTTATAATAAATTGAATACAGAGTACTTGCCTTTAATTTGGCCATAGATACTTTTGTATTTTGCAAAAATGTTCGCGCATTCGCATATTTTGCATCTTGTTTATCTAGCATCTTTTTGATATCTCTTAAACTCTTAAACCACTCAGGATTGTTAAACATTGGCCAAGGATTTATATTTAAACCACCCGGATACATTTTTATTATAAAGTTATTTTCTCCCTCCTATAAAAGATTTAGTAAATATTCAATAAAATATAAATTATTACCGTATACTCGCAAAATAAACATGTTTTAATGCTATTCTAAGTACGCCCATGAGCATTATTTCAAAAAAAGTGTCAATTTCGACTAAACTTGATATTGTTACACGGAGTGCTCATTGCTTCGAAATCATGCATGCATTGTATTTTTTAAAAGGATCTTATTTTCGAAATAACATCATTTCGTGATTATACAATATATATATGATTTATGATAAAAGTACCGACCTGCATAACCATTGTCTTGAATCTCAGAGAAAATTCTGATAAAATCCCATCACGATCTTGTTTAGGTACATCTTTAATTATGATGCAAAGTTTTGCCTAAACAATTAAGATCAAAGGAATTGAGTTAGCCAATATTATTTAAACAAACAATTATAAATTATTACCTGGAATATTTTTTCATCGTTTAATAATGTAGCACCATCTTGGAATCTTTGAAACATTGTTGACATATCCCTGTTGACAGCAAATTGATTCTATAATTAAGATAAATATGGGTTAACAAGTATTGTTAACATTGTTAATACATATAAAAATAGGATTAAATTAACAATCTTGCCTTGAAAAGAATAAGGTTTGATATTACAGTGTTGAATAACGTTAAAAACGTATCTATATCATTGTGGCATTATTAAAAAAAAGCATTATTATCGCTTAAATCTCTTCATAATCATTCATTCTTTTTTGATCTGAGACATGAACTATGTAGAGATTACCTTCTTGTGGTGACCGTTCAAGAGATTTAAGTCCCTCGAAATCCAAGGCGACATAGATACATTTTTTGGTAATCGCTGTATTGAAAAAAATCAGTTTACATCATATAATAACCTTTGAAAGATCAAATTAAATATACCTAAGGACATCCATACTCCTTCAGTACAGCGCTAAAATGGCAAGACAATATATTTTTAAGTTCTTTATTGACAAAATCAGACTTTATTATAAAGCTTACCATTGCTGAGCCATCAAATGTTGTTCCAATTAAATGATTTAACATATATCTTAAAAGATAATATCATTTATTACTTAAATTTTATTACTTAATGTTAAAGCCATTTATACTTACGATTTTCCACAAGACCTTTTTATCATAAAAGAATTGTTTTGATGAATATTTATCTGCAATACGGTACATAATAAAGAATAAAGAATTTACTTACTGTTCTCCCATGCTCGAAACAACTTTTACAGGCTTATCGCCAAAATATTTAAATATTCCCTCATACCATCCAAAACTGAAAAAATTTCTAATACGTATATCATTGTATCAAATATCATTGGTTAAAGAATAATTTAAATAACCGACCTAATATTCTGTGCAATTCTATCAATGCTTAATGCTCCTGAATCAGCAAGCTCTGCATCAAATGATGATAAACCATTGCAAAGTGGCTGAAATATATTGTTTCGTGCAACAGCAATTTGTATTGGAATCAAAATACAAAGTTGAATTATTGATTTTTCTTAAGATCGCTTAATTCATCATTCAAGTCCTCTAGATCAAAATCCGAAAAGGCTAAACATGATAATCCAAATCTGTAAACAAGGACAGTCATGTAATAATAAATAAGATATTTAAGGAAAAACAACCCAATTGTTAAAATTGTTAAAAATGTGATTACCGCTTTATAGAAGTTGCAGGTTTGTTTGTTGATCTTTTTAATTCTTCAAACATATCTGCTACATAGTCTTGAAATTTATTTTCATAATTTGATATCTTTTCATTGTCCTTTAAATCTAATGCTATTTGTAAATTCAATGTGCGATTTTGATCTGGATCTATAATATTATCAATAGGATACTTTTCAAACATTAATTTATATGCATTGATGAATCCACTAAGCTTCGTTTTAGGTTCAATACGAAATTCCATCCAAGAATCAATGCCAATCATACATTGAAAAGTCCCAGAAACTTTCAGCTTCGTATCAGAATATACTTTCAAAACAATTCTTTTTTCTCCCATGATAACAAAATTTTCACCTTTTTTGACATCACGCATAAATGAAGTATCATTGCCTTCCAGTTCCATATCTTGAGAATAATTTTTAATTGCTCTAACTTTTCCAAGAGATCGTTTAATAAATTTTTGTTAGAAGCTGTATTGTGTTTTCTCATGTGTAATTCTAATAATTAGGGATTGAAACACTCCTGCATGTATATCGAAAGCTGTAAGATTAACTTGATTTTCTAAGCATGAAAATTGAATAAACTCCAAGGTTGATATAATTGGGGGCAATTGAATTACTACACAAAGAAAAAATTTTATAAATTACTACGTTAAAATTTGGAATGGTCAATAATTATAAATTGTGCTAACCTTTACTAGCTGGTCTTCCAAAACCTGAAGAAAAATAAATATATGCACGTTTTATTGCTAATCCATTTGTGTTGTTAGACTCATTAGTTGAATCCTCTGTATCACTTATCGATAAGTCAGACTCATTATCCTGTTCATTAGGCATATCTTCGCCCGATGGATTTTCTCCTGATGGATTTTCTTCTGATGGATTTTCTTCAACAAAAGCTACAATACAAGAGCCATCTGGAGTGCAGACAATATTACTAGCATTCACTGGAAAATGAGCTGTTCCTGGCAAAAACTGGTTGGTGACCAAATTAAATATTCTTGCCTGACCGTCGATTTGTACAAAACAAATTTCTTCTTTGTCTTTGATGAAGAATAAAAATTTGATATCAGGTATGTTATTACTATACCATGCACAAATTTGAACACCTCCAGCTCGTTTATAAAATTGTTGACTTTCATCAATGACATAAACGTCTAACTATTAAATAATAAAATACTGTATCAAAATATATATCTAATAAATCAATAAACGTGACATAACTGATAATGCAAAAATAAAACATACCACCCCTATTCTGGTTTGATATATTCCAATCATGCCTTTTGGTTCATTTACTGCGATAAGGCATTGTTCTTCTGGATGTAAAGTCTTAGGTTTTCGATATGCTGTTTCTTCTAATTGAATTGGATTATATAATGTTCTTCTCAAAGTTTCGTAATAAATTTCGAGCCGTTTTTGATTTATATTCCACAGGGCAATAAAGTATTTATTGTTTTCAAATAAAGCTATTTTTCTTTTTTTTTAAAAAAAAAGAAAAAAATTGTCAGCTTATAATTAATTTTTATTCTACAATCACCAAATATATCATTCACCTTAATTCATAGGCTTGCGGATTAATTAGAAAGGAAAAGCAATTATTATGATGATACATATCGATTGTTGGATTAGAAACATGTAATTCATCCTGCCTCAAACTCAGAGTGTCATTTTGATCAAGACTTGTATTATAGATTGTATATTGTAATTGTTCAGGTTGAATTTCTTCAAAATGATAAGTAACAAGAGACTGCGATTGTAGGAAACTATGGGAATTTTTAAAAGAAGTCAGTTATTGCTATTAATCTATTCATTATTTATGATGATATAATTAAATAATTACCATCTTGAACTTTCTCGATTTTAAATATAGGTCTTTGGAAATTTATATATATATATTGAAGATTCAATAAGTAAATTTATAAGTTGATAAAATATACAGTAACAATAAAAATTACCCGTTAGAATATTTTTTTTCAATTGCTTCACAAATTCTGGGAAATTCCCTATTATTAATTTCTTTTTGATTTACTTTACTTTCATCTTCTAACCTTGAATTAATGTCTCTTGATTGATCCGAATATTTTGGTATGCCTTTTTTCATCTTTGTGTAGAATGTATCATTTCTCCATTCTTGATATACATCCAAAAAACGAAATGTAATACGATGTTTCGTGATTTCATCAATATTCTCAAATTTATAACTATGGAGGTCCTGAATAAATTGACTATCCGTTTTCTGTTCAATTTTAGCATCTATGTTGAAATAATGTTACTAGTATGAAAATTATCGAAGGTAAAAATTTGTTTAAAAAATTTGGACACAAAAAATTCCTTTTTGCAGTTACTTGTTTGTTAAAGTCAATCTCTTGATCAACTAACAAATTACATAACTCTTTAATTGCCTCATTTCTATCATTATTATCTTGGATTGTTTCATTTCCTTCAACTTGTGTATCAATAATTTGTGCGACAAATTCAAACAATTTTCTCAACTCTATCCAATTTTTTGAAGTGATTTTCAAAGCGCTGTTAATCCTTTTATTTATATTAGGGTATTTAACATGAATTCTTTTTAAATCTTAATGTAAAAAAAAGACAAGTATTTAAATAATTTTTTATAAAAAAAATGTAATACACGTTAACATTAGTACCTGTGTCGTTTTGGATTTCTGAAACTCCATCAACTGACATATGGGAGCTATTAGTCTTGCTCGTGGAGATAAAATCTTCAAAAGCACTACAATATTTCGGCAAAAAATTTACTGAATTATACTTTTGATATAGAAAAACTTCGAAATGGTTGTTTTCATACCTATATGTTTCTTTTAACTTATTCCAAAACATATTTTCAATAATTTTTCCGTCTTCACTAATAATATTTCTTTCATTTTCTTTTCTTTTCTCTAGAGCTAATCTTTCGGCTGCCAATGCATCGTTCAATGGACTTAAGAGTTCATTTTCAAACTCAGCAAATCCAAATTTAATTAACCGTATGTCCTTCAATAATTTCATGGAATTCGGATTCAGAATGAACAGTTTTATAATGTTTATTAGTTTTGGATTTTCCCCGTATTTTCTTAACTGTAGCAAATGCCTGATGAAAAGTTGACTCGATGACTAATAAAATTATAAAATTAGGATACGTATAGATTAGTATCTAAAAAATTTTATATGAAAATTAATTGAACTATAAAAAATTTACTAAATGGTAACGGGCAATCAGCATTATCAACATTTATTTCACGCTTAATTTCAGAGGGCAACTTGATCTTTATAAGCAAACTTAACGTTAATATGATTTTCAAGTATAAACAGTGTAAATATAAATAAAAAACAACCTTAAATCCAGGATAAGGTATAAAATCTTCTTTTTCTTCCTGACTCTTCATGACTTCAAACTCAACACCAGTTCCTTCAGTTTCTTCGTCCGAATCTTCTTCTTCTTCTTTACCATTCCAATCAAAACTTTCTAAGGGTGTTCTCAAGTGCCTTAGTCAATCGATCGGAATAGGGTCGGGGCAAATTTTAATTAATAAAAAATTGGGTTTCCGAATCAATTGTATTTATTATTCCAATGAATGATGCAAGGCTA